GAGCCAAGCAGGCTCAGCCATATTTGATGGTTTTGTTGCTTCGCTCGGGAGTTCTCGGGAGTAATTGAATGCCGAAGGTCGCTGCCTAGTGGAGATAATATAGTACGTCATTAATATGGCGCCAAAAGATTGGGTTCTCGCTCGGAGGCGAGCGGGCAGGGAGGCGGCCGCCGGGTGCAGCGTTACTATCCCAACAGGAACTTGGGCACTGCCGGGGCGGGGGCCGCAGAGGCGGAGAGGATGGTTGGGGGACCCTGAGACTTGATCTCTGGCGGATCAGTAAGTTTTGTGATGGCTGGTGTTCGCTTTCCCATTCTGTGGGCTGAAGACTTAAGAGCCGTTTCTTTGGGATCCGTGAAGAACATGCGGGGTTCCAGGTGAATCATCAATTAAAGGTGCTCAGTGTAGTTGTCTTTAGTTTGTACGGTTCTTACCAAACAACCGCCCCCAAACCAAAGTGCATTGGACTGCGTGAAAGTGGAAAGCGTAGTAGCAACTTGGTGGACAGAGGGCAATGGCAGGTCCATATTTGTCCAAACATAGGTGTATGTGTGTGAGTGTGACAGAGAAAGGTACGTCTGTGTAGCGTGGCCGCAGTCCTGACTTGTCACCGCGTCACCACATGTCCAAAATATTCATTGCATCAAGGGCAATAGGGGGTGGTGGTGGTGGTGGTGTACAGGGACGTGTTGGCGAGTAGATTCTTCCAAATTGGGCTTCCAATCATCCGATCTTTTCCTTTTAACAAGACTGCCTAGAAAGTGTCAAACCCTTCGTCGGTGGAATTAAGAAGGAGCACCATAGGGAGAGCAAAGTGCAGGTGAATCGGGAACTTAAAACGGATCGCAAATTGTAACCTTTGGCACCATATGCCAGTGGTGGGGGTGGGGTCGCGTGGTGCCCGGCTCTGCCTGACGGGCGTTGTGCGTTCCCCGGGACTGCAAGTTGCAAGGCCTTTCTGTGCACGTGTCTTGCGCTTGGGAGAGAGAGTGTGTGTGTGTGTGTGTGTGTGTGTGTGTGTGTGTGTGTGTGTGTGAGAGTTGGGAGCTGTTGTTCCGTAGCTCTCAGGCTTCCCGAGTTCCTCGGCGCTGGCTTGCAAATGCGGGCGAGGGATGGAATGTGGAATGTTGACCGGGGAACCGATTCCAGTCGGAACGGTCCCATTTGCTGGAGAAATTCGATCCCTTCCACCTCCTCCCCGCCCCCCCGCGCCCGCCTTCGGGCAGGAGGCGGGGCCGAGGACTCGGCTGCAGCTCAAAGTGGCGGCTCGCGGCGGCGGGAGGCAGGTGCACGGCCCCCGCCGGTGGGGGTGCCTCAACTTCCGTGGGCGTTTAAATAGCAGCCTCTCTCCCCTCCCACCGGTAATAGGTGACCTGGCGGCCGAGGACGGCGGGG